TTTCAACGCGTACCAAACTGGTGTATGAAATTCCGACAAAAATGCACCGAAAATTGAGGCTTTTCATCGTATTTTATGTAGTAACGACGGATTTTGTCTGCCGGTAATACTGAAATTTCCTGTATTGTGTATATATTTATTTTGATGAATGAAAGAAACTTTATAGATGAATTTTTATTTTTTAGTAACTATGTAATTTGTCATTTATTTCAATGAATATCAGTAAAAAATCTGAAATAATTTCAAATCTATATCTTGGAGTTTGTCTGTCATATTTTAACACGATAGGACATGTCCTGGTCGGGTTTGGTTGTGACATGCCTTACCTAGACGTAAGTAACTATTATTTATTTTGGGATAAACGTATCATTCTTCATTAGGAGTATAATCTATGCTATTTGAATTTAGGTGTTTTGATAATAACTTAAACTACTAATCAAATTAATACAAATTCATTTATTTTTTGCATATGCTTATAATGAACTAGCAAGTTTGATAAATAGATTATTCTTGATGTATTGTTGCACAATCTCCCATATGTTTTTGTAATACTTATTGAATATAATAAATATCAAATTTATAAATTATATTATGTTATGAAATGATAATTCTCATATTGAAAATATAACGCATGTTGAAAATCATTCATGAGAATTTATAAGCATACGTGCAATAGTATGTGAGTCGGTAGAATCCTATTCGAAATTGGCAAGTCAGACTGATGGCTGGTGTTTACCTTTTCAGTGATGGATATTTGTGTGTGTGTGTGCATCTGAATATATAATTAGAAATGATTTGAAATCAATAAATGACAAATAAGTCACTTTGTGGTATGAGGACACCTAATTTGGTGCATTTGTGAACATTAAAATTATTTAGCATTAGTAGCTATTTAACATATTCATTAACATGCTAGAATTTGTCACTGGACATATGACACGTATTATTGTTACTTGGATATAATTACTAGAGGTTACTACTCCCACCTTTTGATTGTTTATACTACATGCCCCATTTCATCGTTGTTTATATTTTAATAGATATGAGTTATTTGCTTATTTTTATTTATCAAACTCACTCGTTATTACTTTTTCATAGTAGATTATGTCAAAGTGCTAGGTGGACCGCCACTTTATGAGTGGAGCTATAAACAGTTGAGATTATAGTTGATACTTTTATATGTTTAGTAAGTTTTTTATGTATTGCTTTTGAGGGTTGGGTAGTTTTCTTATTTGTTATTGTTTCTTTTTTATTTCCTTTACTTATTTTAGTACTACTATTTGGGTGTACTGTTTATTTAATTTTTTATAAATGAAATGAACATTAGTTTCTATTTTCATTTTTTTACTCTAATATAATTAGATATACTATTGGTCTATATATTTTTCTCTTTTGTGAGTACAAAATATATATTATATTCCTTTATCCCATTATATATTATTGGGGTATACCGCCTTCCAGATCCGAGATATGACAGTTTACACAATGTTTATCATCATTACTAGTTTCGCTTATTTAATCTTTGTCTCCTCTTGCTATTATCTTGGGTAAGCTTGAAATAATTTTTAATAAAATCCGTTAGGGTAGTTTTGCTTTTATGGATTGGGCTACCACCTTCTCCCATAACTCTGGTGTAATCTCATGTTTGATGACAACTTATAATAACTATATAAAAAAAATTTGTTATTGAAATAACAATGACATTCAAATAAAATATTTCCTGGGAATATGGACATATAATTTATCATGATAGACTTCTAATTACACAGCTTTTTGAAGTAAATATATTCAGGTTGACTTATACATATATATCATAAAATGGCTGGAAAAATGACAGCTACTTGCAGTTTCATTCATAATAAAAATAATTACTATTTATATTTACATTTAGAGTTTCAAATTATTACACTTCAAATAACTTTTACATAGATAAAAACAGCATTCATATGTCTTTTATGATTAGAAGCTTTAAAATTAATTATATTCAAATAAAATTATTATGAAACTTTAAAATGTGAGTCTATTCTGTATTAGGGCATCTCAAACTAAATGCTATTCGGGCGTTTGTAATTCGCATGAGTGTCCAAATGAGCCGCATTCAGAAAGGCATACTTGAACCTAACTTGCTCCAAATCCGGGTTAACCAAACCCGACACGCGATGTAATAATCCAAACTCTTAACTATTGATATATTCTCCACTTTGACCTAAGAGCCTCACGATTCTATCCTATTGGTATAACTTTCCAGTAAGTCACCCATTCCAAAATTACTCTGAGATGATCACACTTAAGTGCAAATTTCTTAAATAAAATTTTAACCATTATACCAAAATGCACCTCTATGTTTAAGAGTTTAGCTTCTTTTTACTTAAGGGTATTTCTAATCTCTCTCACTTAAGTAATTAACGTCCTCTTCAACATTATTCCAAAATCATCAATCATGTAAATAAGATTCTAGAGGTGGCCCTCACAAATTCAAGTGGTGGCTCCCATCACGTAGCACTTTATCCCATATAGGATTGAAGATGTGGCTCCTATGACGTAGCAATTTATCTTGTATGACATTAGTTCTCATCTTAATTACTAGAGTATTGCTTTGATACCATTTATAATAGCCCAAACTCATAACTATCGAGATATTATTTGCTTTGGCCTAAGAGCCCCACAATTTTGTCTTGTTGGTGTAACTTCTAATAGGCCAACCATCCCAGAATTGCTTTGGGATGAGCACATTTAACTGTTATTACATGCAATCACGCCTCATGCGATCAGGAGTGGGGTGGGAACACATTTAATAGCTCAAACATGTGAAATAAATATATTTGAAAAACATGAAAATTCAAAAATAGAGTGCTTTGACATTGATATAGTAAGCGCTGGGTGCTAGCCCTCACTTGGTTACTTGGCAGGAACAAATTGAAAGAGGGGAAGAAAATATCGGAGATATAAAGATCATTAGATCATATTTGTCAGTATTAATGTTATATATTTTATTTTTTTTAGTTGTAAGTGACTAATTGCTTACTTCTATTTTCAATAATTTTGATTTATGTGAATTTTATCTCTAATAAATCTACAAAAAAAAATATTATCTCCTGATATTCTGAGTGATTTGATATGATTTTATTACATTTTAGATGGAGTACTAAATGAGATCAGATACATGATATGATAACTCTATGTGATACCCTTTTGATCCACGTGATTCACTGATTGAAAGTCATAAGGAGTTAGAGATTAATTAAGAGTTATAAGGAGTCACGTGATTTAAGGGGAGTTATAAGGAATACATTAATTGTGAGTTATAAGAGGAGACTGATTGAGAGTTATAAGTGCAAGAGCAAGATACCCTTAAGATACACTCATTGAATATCTAAATTTTTATAATGACAATGCTACGAACACTACACTAATATTATGATTGACACTAATACTATTTATTATCATTTATACTATTTAACATTATTGATCATGATACTAATATTCATAGTGATACAATGACTGATGATGTAGTGGATTGAGATGTGATGAATTATAGAAGAATAAATTGATATATATAACTCATATAGACTCTGATGCATATATATTTTTATATGTTTTATAACATTTTGTTCTCATTTATTTTGCGTTGTTGTAAGATTTTAGTCACTTGCTCGGCTTTGTTCTCATTATGTGGTTTTATATATTTTCAAAAAAAAAATAAAAAATGATAAGGTTCCTATGTATGTGGCTCCAAACAATATGCATATTTTTTCTTTATGTAGTTCTAAATAAAATGCAATCATGGTTCTGTCCGCTTTTTATTGGTAAGCCCTAGTTAAATGGTTAAATGAAAGACAAAAGTAATTATTCTAATATAGATCTTGGAGTATGATAATGCGGGTTATTTCCAGGTCATTTTTAGGTTGGCGATTTGACCCATACCCTATTCGATCTTTTAAATAGGTTGGACATTATAATTGGAACCCAACCCATTTGTTAAATGGGTCGACTAAAAACCAAATTTTTTGAGTTGGTTTCAAGAAATTCGGTTTCGGGTCGGGTCATAAGTTGACACCATAGCCAAAATGCCTAATGCCTCATATATAACATAATTTTAGAATTCCCCTACAAACAAGAAAATACTAAAGGGAAATAATGTAGTTTTTGTTAATGAATGATATACCAAACATTAGCTAATAGGTCACCAAAAAGCAGATAGTGCACACAAATTTTCAAATGCAAAAATATAAAAAAATAGGGTATTAAAGTTAACCTGTGACCACAAAGAACTGATCAAATGCCAATAGAGTAAATTAATAAACATTTTCGAGGAATGTCATGTTTAATCTCCACATTCTACATTTCATCTGAATTACAAAATGAATTTTCAATATAAGATCATTTGCTTTCATAATTCTACCTTGAAAAATCCTATTATTCCTTTCTTTTAATAAGAATTGTGGTGATATGAATAACAAGAAGGCATAATCTCTTTGTGATTATGCATTCAATATCAACAATAAATATAAGTGCTTGGTTGATGTTGCATCTCATATGAAGGTAAGAGCTTCGTAGAATATATTTCTTAACAATGTTGAAAGCAAATGAACAATTAAAGAAAAAATGATTATTAGATTTCATAAAAATATCATATAATATATATCTTTGATCCACAATAATGTCTCTAATTTGAAGTGTATTTTTAGTTCTCAACAACTAAAATTTTTCACATAATATAATATAATTAATAGAATAATTTTGAACCAAATAAATTTATGCCTATCTATCTTAGACTTAATTTGTGAATTTTTTTTTTTAATTTTTAAATTAATTTTCTAGTGACAAAATTTTAAGTTAATTTTTTTATACTAAAAAAGTCATCGAAAACGGTTCGTAGAAGGAGCCTTTGGCTCATGATTTTGACGTAGGAAAAAAAAAAAAAAAAAATTCTTTTAATAACATAAAACCTTCTTATATTAATGGGCTTTAGGGGGTATATTAATGGGCTATAGGCGTAACATCCCTCAGAACAGTACGTATCGGTCAGTCTCGAAACTACTCCCTATCTTCGCCAATCGCCACACCACGAAAGCCAAGCCTGCCAGCACGAGAAGATCCGGGAACAAAACTCCACTTTGCAAAATCCGCCGCATCTCCGCCGATTCATCCACCACTGATGATGCCCACGAAAGTCGCAAAATCTCTTTAAGCCATCATGAATCCCGACTGACCTAGTCGAAGGCACGGTCAAAGAAGAAGCACAGAGGAAAGGTATGGAGGATATAGCTTCTCCGGAGCCGCTTCTGCGGCGATCGCTGGCATCCCGTCAGAACCGTGTTGCAGCGTTTTTGGGTCGTGCGGCGGGGCGGCGTGGGCCGCCGGCGTTGGTGCGAGAAACCGCAGCGCGGCAGCTGGACGAGCGGCGCGCCGATTGGGCCTATTCCCGGCCGGTGGTCGCCGTGGACATAGCGTGGAATCTCTCCTTTGCCGTTGTCTCCGCTTCCGTCATCGCAGCTTCAACATGCGAGCGGCCAAATGTACCCGTGAGGGTTTGGATCGCAGTTTATGCTCTTCAGTGCGTCTTACACGTTGCTCTGGTCTGGTCCGAGTACAGGCGTCGCCGCGGGGACGAGGGGCGGGTTATTGGCGACGAGGAGAGCAGCGGTGAACCGACTGCGTTGGATTTCGGTTCAGTGGATAGTGGGGAGGAGAGCGATGATAGCGGATCAGGTCGCCGGAGCCAGCGGGCTAGGTTTGTGAGAATATATCTTTTTACGTATATTGATTATTATTATTGGATTGGAGCTGTATTTAACTATTTATACAGCTTTTTTCTTTCTGAACTTGACTTTTGATGTAGATATTCTCGGGGTCTGCCTTTAATTTTTGAAATTTAAACCTCCTGGAGCCGCTGTAGAGCCAGCAGGCTACGTTTAGGCGCTTATGAGTTGATTATTTTTTTATTTTTTGGATTGGAGACGCTTTTAGATTGTTTTTTTGTTTCCAAACTTGACTTTTGTATTTAGATATTTTAGGGATTTTCTTCAACTTTCAATTTTCTTGAACACATGTATTGTTTTAGGATAAATACATCTATGAAATAACCTTTGGGTTTGCTAGTTGTGCTACAATGATTTACTACATTTCTACAAGATATCAGAGATGTAATATCCTCATGATCCCTACTGTCTTGCATAATCCGGCAATGACAGAGTCTAATCTCTCCTCAAGCAGTAAAGACCTCTCTATCTCTCAAATGAGATATAACGGAACCACAACTACAACGACAGCTATAACTGTACTCTGTGCCACCAAAAACCCTACCACCAGCTCTCTTGGGGAAAATCACCGCCATTCACTCCTAACTACTTGAGACAAATCCAACCATTAATAGCCTACTATTCTAACAAACTCCATTCTTCTTTTAGATTAAATACCTCATTATAATTGCTAGAGTAATTTGAATGAATTCATATGCTAGTTCTAGTTTCTAACTCATCTCAATGTGTTATAGTAGTTTAATACATTTCTATATGGTCTTAGAGATCTAACAACCTCATGGCAACCGGTATCCCTATTGTGTTCTCTAGCCCGCCAATTCTAACTCTCCTCAAGTAGTGAAGAGTTCTCTATTTCTCAAAAATAAGCCAACCCCATTCCACACCAACTAAATTTCCTCATGTTCAATCTCAAAAATATCATCACAATCCAACTCACCAAAGAAAATCCCCCCATTTGGTTGCTCCTAGATTCTTACAATATTTTAAGGAAAACAACTTTAGTGAGTACCTCAACATATCTCTTCTTGCACCTGCATCGACTATTATTGATGATCATGCCATTTCCCTTCCTAACCCTCACCACACCACCTGGTTGCTTGGGGATCAAAACCTTGGGACAACTATCCCCTCCACCATTTCAACTTCTCTTTTCCCCCATGTTATCTTCCTCTAAACTCATGCAGAAGTCTGTGACACCCTTGACAAGTGACTACAATCATCCAACAAATCTCACCTCATGCAGCTCAAAAATGAACAACACAATATCTCTATGGGTACTTAAACTATGACTCAATACTTATCTACCATCAAATCCAAAATTGATTCTATTGCAGCCATTGGGGCCACCCTCGATCTCGAGGATATCATCCTTTGCATCCTTAATGGCTTACCACCTAGCTATAATGCCTTAAAAGCATCCATTCGAACCACTCTTCAACCCATTAGCCTCTACGACCCATATTCCTTCTTTGCAGCGAAGGCACAAATTTTGTTGTGTTGCCGCAAAAGAATTGTAAGCTCTTTGAATCTCCAAACTAGAAATTATTCTCACCATCGCCTGTGGCTGCATTTGTTATGCTCTGTCTTGCCCCTCAAGCAACCCGAGGCAGAGTACCTCACCCAAGTTTTCACATAATTGCATTGCAGCTTACCTCCTTTAAGGAGGTCGAACAAGGTAGCCAACAACCACATGACAAATCCATGACAAATTTGGTCACTCTGCTGCTAAATGTAGGCATTGCACCAACCTTCACTATGAAACTACTTCTCCTTATGGGCTTTACTTATAAATACAAGAAATTGGTATCTTGTTACTGACACCACAACCTATCTCACACCAAACCAAACTCAATAGTCCAACGTTTCTGTTTAAAATGTCACACTACAAATTACCATTTTCATTGGACAAACATCACCATTCTTCACAAACTTTAGGGCCTACTACCAATTCAGACTCGTAGCTCATCTTATGCCAACTCCTTTGCTCGCTTGTTCCTTGTTGCATACTCCTGGCTGTTAATCATTCAATCATTGCTATAGATCTTTTGATGCCTACGACTGCACAATGAAGGACCTTCATACCAACCAAATTCTTCTCCTGGGTCCTTGCCACAATGGCTTTTACCCAATTCACTAATCACCATCTTCTCTTTACTTGAAATTTGAAACTGCTTTGCTATCCAACAATGTTTTGACGACCATATAAAACCAATGCTTGGGCCACCCAAATCAATAGGTTCTCACTTCAATAGCAAAATAATCAAATATTATATGCTTTTCTTCTCCTTTTTAGCTATGCACTTCATGTAACTTGGCCAACAACCATTGTTTAACATTCCCCAAATCTATGTCATGTAGCTTGCATCCTCTAAAACTAATACACTTTGATGTATGGGGACTTTTCTCAACCATTTCAAATCAAAGATGCAAATATTGTTTTACTTTTGGATGACTTTTCTATAGTTTGGGTATATTCCATGATTTGAGAAGGGATTGAAAGTTTGCACTGGTATATTCGCCTCTTTTGTTTGAGCTAGGGGTTTTTATAGAGGTGAATTATCCACCTCCTTAGTTGCGAGCAGCTCTAGAGCAAAATGGTATCGCCTAATGCAAACACAAGCACCTAATCGAAACCTTTTGAACACTTCTAATCCAAGCCTACCTACCTCATAACCTTTGGGTTGATGCCCTTCATATGGTGGCATATTCTATAAACCGATTTCCATCTCCAATAATAAACAATCGATCACCATACCATTTACGATAAGACAAACCCCTTTCTTATGCTCACCTTCCTTTACTCCCACACTTTAATATCAAATTAGCTCCAAAGTTCGTCCTCTGCTTCTTTCTCGGATAGAACTTTGCCTATGCGGGCCACAAATGCTTCAAAACTCTTAGCTACAAAATAATCCTTTCTCAGCATATTCAATTCAACAAAAACATCTTTCCCTTCTATTATCTAATCATCACATCCACTACTCAACAAGCACACATCTCCACAGTAACTCTTTGTTGACTTCATGTTGCTAAATCCTTGGGTAGGTTTGATGTTGCAACTACCATTTTCATATTACCATGAATTTAGTGCGTTCATTGTTTTAAATCCTTGACATTTATCTCCAGAGGTACGTTACTTTGTTTGTTTGAATTGCCCATCTTAGGAACATTTCCTTGATGATTTACATGCTCACCAACTTGAAGGGCCCTATTGAAAATCTTCTGCATTGCATTTCGTTGGCTAGAAATGTTTTTTTATGGTTGTGAAAGGAACAGATAGGGAAGAAGAGTATAAAACTAATTGTGAAATTAGCAAACAAAAGTTTTTGAGTCGGCTATATTTTCTTTCTTTCTGCTACATTAGTGTTTTATTCTTATATTAGAGATGGATAGGGCTATTTTACTGGAAAGACTACTGAGGGCATTGATGCTATCAAAACAATAACTTATAACATTGCAAATAATTCAATTTCTTGGAACTATTATGTGCTACTGGACTTAAAGACACATTCTATCTGTTTTTAACTCCGAAGGTCCTTGAACTATGCTCTGTTGGTTTTATGTAATAATGAAAACGACAATTTCTACCTCTAGGAAAATGACCATACTTCTGTTTAATGGAGAAGATAACAAATACTCCTAAAATGATCTAGTTTAAGTTTAAATCTGATAGGAATACTTGAGTTCGCAAGTAACCCTAAGGGTAATACTTGAGTTCACAAGCAAACAAGAGATTCTCAATTCGAGAGGAGAATCGTCTCTCTCAAATCTCTAGACAAGAGAGTCTAGAACCCAAGTTGCCAATGAACCCTAATTGAGAACAAATCAAAACATAATCTCTCCTTAAACATCTCATACTCTTTAATACAAAGACTTTCTTAATCTAATTTCCCTCCTAAGCTCTAGCCGCCCCCTCCTTTCAATTTGCAATCAATTGGCTTAGTGGGATTGGCTTAGTTGGGCCCACCATGTGGGCGGGCAAGAGAAAGGGAGGCGGTTCAGGGTGAACCGGCCTAACAATACCTGAGTCAGTTCAGGGTGAAACATCAGTTTACTTGTTTTAGACCTGAGTCAGTTCAGGGTGAACCGGCCTAACAATACCACCATCTTAAAGAATCACCTTGTCCTCAAGGTGAAAACAAGTAAACTGATGTTTCACCCTCTTATATGGCTCCCATGTGGCCTTGTAATCAGGAAGGTTCTTCCACTTGATCAACACTTCCTTAGTTCCATCTTATTTCTAGCGAGCCCCCATCAGCTCTAAGGGTTCCAGAATCACCTTTAAATCCTCAGTAAGTGTCGCAGGTAACTCGGGACTGGCTGTATAGTCACCAATGGCCATTCTCAACTGACATACATGAAAAACTGGATGTATAGTCACCGTTGGTGATAGTTTCAGTCGATATACTACTGCTCCGACCATCTCCAGCACTTCATAAGGTCCAAAGTACTTTGGAGCAAACTTCTCATTCCTCCTGTTGGTGACTGCCTTCTGTCTGTATGGTCGGATCTTTAAAAACAGCCTCTCCCCCACTTCGAATTGGATGTCCTTCCTATGCGCATCAACTTATTTTTTCATAATCTTTTAGGCTCTCATTAGATGTCTCTTCAACTCCTCTAGCACTCTATCCTTCTCCTCCAAGTACTCATCTACTGAAGAAACTGAAGTACTGCTACTCCCAAAGTGCACCAAGTGGGGAGGATCATGTTCGTACGCCACCTTGAATGGGGTCATCTGAGAAGCAGAATGAAAAGATGTATTGTACCAGTACTCAGCCCATGATAGCCACTTGACCCATAGCTTGGATGTCTCCGACGCAGCATCTCAGGTAATTCTTTAAGCTCCTATTGACTACTTTTGTTTGGCCATCCGTCTGTGGGTGATAAGCTGTGCTCCTCTTTAGAATTGTCCCCTGTAATCTAAACAACTCCCTCCAAAAGTGGCTGGGGAGCACCTTATCTCTATCTGATA